GGACGGGACAGCAGAACTTGATGCATCAAAAGCTGATAAATAAGGCAAAACAAATATTGTAATAAGTTAGCTTGAGCTATAATTGAAAAAACCTCAGTGTAGCAGCGTTTGAATATGTGAGGGTTTGTTTTAACCACCTTTAAGAGTGTGTGTATGATTATATATGGATATACCTTAGCTTTAAGCTGATTAAAGAAATCTCTCAGTTTAGTTTCCTGTTCCTGCAGCTGGTTTGCTGACATGTTGCTGATCAGACTGTAGAGTAGATAGGATGTAGATTCTGCACAAAAACGCACGCATACACACAAAAAAACACACACACACACGGTGAGCAGTCATCTTGGGAATAAATTTCATTTGCCACAGTGTCAGTCACAGCATCCATTTGTGCATTCATACTATTTTTCTGTAACCTCTACAGAGTGTGAGGTTGTGTCGTTTCTGCTGACAGAAGCTGCTTTCGGTCTGCAGTTTGAATGTGCGGCAGCTCACGCTGACAGCTTCCCCTTACTTCAGCGCTCACACACAAACGTGTTTGCAGATGTCGTCTAACTGGATGTGACATGGATAACAGTCTCCATCGCTCCCACCAGTACACACCAGCCACGGTACTGGAGACTCCCTGACACGGAGAGACATTAACTCCACACACACACTTGCTCTCTTCTCACACACACACAGTGCTGTGTCAGCAGCCAGGCTCTATTTCCTTTGCTGGACAGAACGAGCAGATCTTTCTTCAACATGCTGACAAACACACCTGTGATGAACCATAACATAAAGAGGCTTTATGACTTTTTGACAAGGTGGGTCAGGCAGGAGTTCATCGCTACCAAAACTCAGCATGAACACACACATTCTTTCATCAGCTACATTATACTTAAAAAGTTCTGCACTACTTGCAAGTTTCAACATTGTGAGCGAGCTGCCTCCGTCTCACCTTCACAAACACAAGTAATTCAGCTCCGTGCAAAACACGTTTTTAAAGACTCAGAGGAGAACAGTGACTGCTGATAAATGTTTTCTTACCAGCAGGGTTTGAGTTTTCACAGAAGCGCTCGTCTGTGAACATGAGCTCAAATATCTAAAAGATAAAACAAAAAAATACACCGACAAATTCAAAACACAAACAGAGAACCTCACAGCACAAAAAGTTATGGAGATTTCACATTAAGGATATTCTGACACACTGCTGTAAATATTCTGGTCTACATTACTGTTTTTAAAGTATTCACTGTTTTACTTTATTTCACATTTTTTGACCATGTCAAAATTTGTCAAACTTCATAAAAACAGTGTAATTCTATAACAAATGTGTTAATTTTATTAGTTATTTTTTATAGCTTGTCATTTGCACCACTACCTTATTGTCTATTTATTGTATATTTTTAGTTGTATAGAAATTGGATTTTAATGTGCATGATAACTTTTATGTTTATTTAATCAGTACATTTTCTTGAGTTAAATATCAGGTCTAAATGTGTATAAAAATTGCAGGTCAGACAAGTTTTTTCATGTTCAACAGGAGTTTAAATTGGGTGAATAAAGTTTATATTTAAACTTTTAACATACATGTAGCAGAGGTTCAATTTGTCTCAAACACACACAAACAAAATATATATTAAACATATTTATTGTCTTTGCACATATAGTTCGATTACTTTAAAAGTTAGACTTCCCTGTGTGGACTCTGCATGGATGTGCTACAGAACAAAGATGCTGATGCCTTACCTTTACCATGGTCTCCACATCTGAAGACCTGTAGGGGGCAGAAGAGGACAAAAAATGAGCACCAATACGAAAAACGACAACTAGACCCCAACTTGTTGGAGTTTGTGCAATTTGGTATTTAGCATTTAAATATTAAAATATAAAAATACATCTATTTTACTTTGCTTCAATGAGCTGATAACTAAAAACCTGCCACTGAAAATTAACCCTTTTTTATTTTTATCATTTTAAATAAAAGCAGCAAATAAAACGGTATGAACTGTGTAGTAATGTTTTAAATCTGAAAATCTATTCGTTATAAACACGTGTTCAAATTCTACTAACTTCTTACGTTTCCTCATATTTATCAGAAATACAGTTTTCTATACAAATCTTAACACTGACAGTATCATGCTGCCACAGATACTGAATTGACAGCAGAAGTCACTTTATGTCAAGAAATAATGACAAATTTCTCAGTCTGACACTTTCCATCCCACAGTACAACAGAAGAGAGACAGAAGTACAAAAGTCTGGCAAACCACAAAAGACAGTCACACACCAGCACATACACACAGAGGCTAAATGATGACAATGTGTGACATCTCCGGCGTTGTCAGCGAGATGCTGGAAAGCAGGCAAGAGAGAGAGAAAGAGACAGAGAGAGGGAGAGAGTGTGTGGGGGGAGGGGGGATGAAGAGAGAAGAAGAGGTCTTTAATGATTAAATTATCCCCTGACCTTGTCTTTGACAGGGGCAGGTCCTGCACGGCGACGACACGGCGCTCGCAAATACACACACAGACGCTCCCCAAGTGACAAGCCCAATTACGACCCTGTCAGGCAACCTAACCATCAGACGTGTGCGCGCGTGTGTGTGTGTGTGCACGTGCGCGCAATGAGAGCGAAGCCAACCGAGGAGAGGAAGTGGATTCAGTCACAAAAAGGGCCAATAAGTAATGATGACTTAGAATATCTATTCAGAAACAAGAAAAGGACACGCCAACACAGACACACGCATCATAAAAACATGCTGGAATGAATTTAAATCTTTTTAGCTAGACAAGTTTCATTGACTATGTGATCTACTTGTCAGGTTCTAAAGACCTACAATGAATTACAATCAAAAAGTAAACTTGAGCTCAGCCATGTGTATTTTGGCTCCGAGAAAAATAACTTCAGTCCCTGCAGGCAAGTCAGCCCTTTACTACTTGATTCACTTCCAGCGTTGCTCAGGGGCCAGAGTGTTTCTGTGCGGCTGTGTAGTGCTAAACTGTAAATATTCATAAACACCCCTTCAACAAATGCCTGTGAGTCAGACACTGGTCCTAAGGCTAACTCCGTGCGTGTCAGAGTGAGAGAATATGCAACCAGTACAGAAGTCCGGGATAGTGGTCGGCATCTGCTAATTTACATATCTCCCACGGTGCTTTGGGGCGAGAGCTGAGGGCTGACGGTTCTCCATATGCATGAGGCATCCGTGTATATCTCAGCGTATGTGTGATGTTGTGTTTCTCCCTGGAGCTGCACACGTGCACAGACGCTTGTGGATGGTGTGAGAGGCTGCACATGTCACATTTATAGCATATGCTGCAGTGACCTCAATAGAGCTATTGGCCACCCTAAAATGACAGTCTGGGGGGGCTTTGAGGCCAAATATGTAAAAATAAGGAATATAAAAGTGATGTAAAACATGGGATGACAAACAGAAAACAGGCTAATTGACTCACTCTTTGAAACCTTTGATAAGGCTGCCACGGAAAGCCATGATGTTCAGCGAGGGGTGAGAAGGATCAGACACTGAAATACAGAGAAGAATTACACAAACTATGTTGAATCCATGTGTACCACTTCGCAGATTTTCACCAATGTTCTGCATTCTGATGAATTACAACACCGAGTTTAGGCAGTTACACAACTGAATGGTTACAATTTATATCAGCACAAGCAAAAAAAATCATCACCAATAATTGTGGCATTTAGTCAATAACAACTAATATGATTAAACCCTGAGAGTCCCTGGACTCAGGAGAGTCCTACTCACATGACCAGTTTAAATCACTCTAGTGGGAAAGAAACACTCTCTGTAAGAACATGTTTCAAAAGTGCAGACTTCAAGTTATACACCAGTTTTTATTATTTTTTTAATTGCCCAAGGAAAACCAGAGTTATAATAAATATTTTCTGGCACTTAAAAAATGTTCTGTCATATTTGAAGCGAGGGGCATTAGATTAAAAAAATAATCAATTACAGTTGCTTATAAGATTATGTGAAACTTTCATAAAACATTAAACTTTTTTCATGTTAAGTAAAATAACTAATCAGGCAAAGCATAGAGAAGAAACAGTCATATGTTGCAATGAGCATTTGAGGATAAAAGATGAAAGACAGAAAACAGGAAAAGCTATCCATTATTTAGCATCCTTCTCTGCCTCATCCCTCTGCAAGATGAGGTGCTTCTCCTCTTTTTACAAATTCACACAGACTAATCTCTTAAAAAGGCCTGACGAGCACAGAGGAATGAGAGGGCAAATGTGTGTGTTTGTGTGTATTTAAGTGTCGACACCGGGCCAATTAGCCCACAGGCAAAGCAGCAATTTTTAAGATGATGGATGCTCAAGATGCAGCAGAGATTCTTCAGACAATGTTAAACTGCAGGAAAGTAGAGAGAAAGACTGTGTGCGCTTACATAGGGTGTACAATTTGGCCAGGTCGCTCATAGCCAAGGTGCGAACTTCTGACACCAAAAGGCTCTCGCTCTCCACTGATATACCAGCATTCTGGGGAAAAAAAAAAGAGTCACATTTGCAGCTAAAACTTATATATAAATATGTCTAAAAATACTGAAGAATAAACACAGAATAACTTATTACCTTAAGGGCTTGCTGAGCCGCCTCGATGTCGGAGAAGACAGGGAGGATGTAGGTGTATACAGTGTCCTGGTCTGGAGTCACACCTAACTTTTCCATTCCTTTGACCACCTCTATCACACCTACAACACACACAGTGATAAATCTATAAACACACCTAAATTATTCAATTTTGAGTTTAAAACAGCCATTGTTAGTGGAAAATTTGCTCGCATGGATTCCCAAAATCAGAACTTGCATCTAACAAAAAAAAAAAGATTATTTTTAAAGATAATCTTTAAAATAATCGGACAAAGTCTTTTTTGTATGTTTGAGTGAGTCGATTAGCTTGTGCAGCCATCTCTAAAAGTTCAATGAGTTGCAGATTAATATCCACTGCAGGGCTGAGCGACATGACTGAAAAATACCACAATATAAGCGTTTCATATCAGTTGATATCAGTAATTATTTATTAGTTTTTTGTTTTATCTATTTGAAGTAAGGACTCAGAAAAAAAAAAGGCTGATTAACACTGCCAAACAGGTGACCTTTCCTCTTTAAGCCACAATTTCTTCTCGAGCTGTTGCCTCAGTTTCTCCTTTCATTCCACATTGTTCTCCTTTATTTTTAAGTAGTTATGAGACATGGTGGCGAAACATCAAACTGCTACGTTACTCGACAGGTTGTTGTTAACAAAGAGTGAGGGAGTTGGTTGATGCCACCAAACTTGCTTAGCTGGGGTATGAGAGGTCGAACGGCTTAAGCCTTCACTCTGCCTACGTCCCCCAGAATGTCTTGCAGCTCTGGATTGAAGTTCAGTGTAATTTTCAATATTCTTTCAGAAACATTTTTTACTGATATTGATGAGCGAGCGAGCGAGCGAGCGAGCGAGTGAGTGAGTAAGCTTTATTTATATAGCACTTTTCACAGACACAAACATCAAAAAGTGCTTAACAGAGAGCAAAAATAACTAAAAACAATAAACAGATCACAAATATTAAAAAAACAATTAAGGCATAATAAAAAGCACATTAATTAAAAGCCTGTCTGAATAAAAATGTCTTAAGATGTTTCTTAAAAGAGTCAGTAGAATCTGAACAAATCAAATTCTGGAAGTGGTCATTCAACTAGATCTGTTACAAAAGGACAACTGATATTACCAACTTTTAAAAACTGTTACGGCCAGAGGTCTTTCTTCTATGTTTATACTAAAGCATGGAATGACATTCCTCAAAACATAAAGTCCATTTCAAAACTACAGCCCTTTAAGAAGAATCTTGTCTGCCATCTGCTGGCCACTTTCTGTTGTGCTCATATTTAGACATCTTAGCAAATGCTGCCTTCCTGAAATTTGGTATGCTTTTTTGTCTTTGTGTCTATGGTGTATAATGATGTGATTGTGATGCTGTAATTCTGAGTGTTTTATGTGCTGCAGAACAGGAACCTGTAGTAAAACAGCAATTATGCTGAGTCAGGCTTGATTTTTAATAATCTTTTCCTGTTAAATAAATAAATCAAACCAAATCAACAGCGAAGAAACAGAGGGAGACCGTTCCAGAGCCTCGGGGCCACCACTCGAAAAGCTCATTTGTCCATGATCGCAATATATATTACCGATAAATTTTTCAGCCCTAACTCACTGATTACTAAAAGTTTCAATGAAATCTACTCAGTGGTTCATCAGACATTTTAGAAATGACAAACACACAGAGATACAGAAAAAATTCTTATAACACTGTTGCATTCAGTGGCAGAAGATATTTAACTGTCTTGTAACTAATGTGAAGAATAAATACACTGTTCAAAAAAATAAAGGGAACACTTAAACAACGCACGCTAAGTCCAAGTAAATCAAACTTTTGTGAAGCACATTCAACTCTGTACAGAACAAAGTACTCAATGCGAATATTTCATTGATTAAGATCGGGAGTTAGCATGCATTGTTTAAGTGTTCCCTTTATTTTTTTGAGCAGTGTATATTTATAGGAAAAAAAAATTGTATAGGTCCTCTGGACGGGTTCTTCTTTAATATTTATATGTATGTTTATATTTGGATCCATGATCATGGCCAAGCATGAAAACAATCAGTTTTTACTGAGAAATAAATTTTAAAAAAACACTCAAGTTTCATTCAGTCAAACTGTTTTAGACAAAACGCCACTTCATCTCCCTTTAACTTCAGACTGGTGAAAAAAACATGCGCAGTGACACGCACTTGGCTAGAAGTAGGCTCTTGTACCCTGTTCTCCACTAGAACCCTGAAGTCCTGCTCTGGGGAAGGAGACCAAAAACAGCCGTGTGCATATGGAAGAGCCACGCAAGCTAACCATCAGCACTTTGCATACAGTGGTTTGCAAAAGTATTCATACCCCTTGAACTTTTCCATATTTTGTCACATTACAACCACAAACATAAATATATTTCACTGGAATTTAATG